ATTAAATGTGTTCGCTTTTAACATATCTTTGTTTAATTAAAAAATTATGTAATCTATTTTTCAGAATTACATAAAAATTTGATTTTATTATTGCTGCGTACGCTAAGCAGCAATAATATAATAAAAATAAAATGTACGAAGCGTGTGTATCGAAGCGTTTAGCAGAATTATTTCGAATCGCTAAAAATTTGGACGCCAAGGAAATTTCAGGAAAAGACTCGGAAAATAGAGGCAAGGGAAAAGCGGAGCAAAGTTTCGCTGCGAAAAAGTTCGCAAGCAGCTGGGAATGTCACGAGAACTAAACTGCTAAACCCACCAAATGGCGCAAGGATGCGTTGTAAGCGTAAAATCGGCTCGATTCGCCTCCCTGTGTGCCGTCGTCCGCACTTGTCGCTCACAATACATTCCGACGATTCAGAAACGTAGTTGTGAACGACGTGCTCGCGGAAGGAAAATGCATAATGTCCGAATTCCGAATACGCCTGAGTTTCCCTCTTTGTCTGCGTATTTTAAGTCGCAGCTGCTGCGTAGGTTGAAAAGCGCGAGCGAGAAAGGGGAGCCTCCTCAGTGCAAAATTTGCGAGAGTTTGTCATCCCGTTGCGAAACACACTCGCACACGTGGTCGAGAAAATTGCAAAGTTTCCTGCGGGACTCTTGCACCGCGCGTCAATTCCACAACGCGGTCGCCCCGCTCCCGTTTCCCGTTCTGCGTTACACCAAAAATTATTAACACGCTTTACATTTGCTGGCGCGAGTGTCGACTTCTTTTGCTCCTCTCGTATTTTTCTCGCCCTTGAGCGTGGCCATCCGGCAATGATAATAAAAACGACCGCTCTCATTTAGAATTTGCGCCGTTATCACAATTATAATTACGTCCGCACATTTTGCTCTTTCCGCTACACACGTCGTTAATTACCGACCTCGCAGTATGATCTCACTCTTGAGATTGAAAAAAGAGAAACAGAGTGAAAAAGAATGAAACAAAAAAAAAACAAAGAATAGAGAGTAAAATAAAGATACCGAAGTATCATTATTTGCACGTGTTTGCTATACGAAATCATGTCACAGTTTTATGTTACCTTACTTTTATCCTTTTCACGCTTGTGTATATATGAAATCTTGTGCATTATTAATAAAGTTAAGCCAGGGTTATAAGGTCAAGGGTAAAAAAATCCAAATTTAAGTAAGATAATATCCTTAAATTTCCCCTAAACAAGAAGGTCTCTTAAATGTTGATTACATGCATAAATCATAAAAGATTCTTTCACGGAAAAAATGCTTTATTTTTATATCCGATCCATCGACTCGCGATGAATGTGTTGTTTCACTCTAAATGGCTCGTGATTTATCACTGGAATATTTTTCCAATCCACGTGTCGACCACGCGGATAACAGCTGACGCTTGTGTACGCAATGCGGATCGAATGGCAGCGTTTTAGTGTAACGATTATAAATAATCCTTCCTATATGACGCGCTCACACGCCCTTTTTTATCGTATTGCAAAATATCTGCATGCTTTGCATCAAGATTATCAGTACATATTATAAAAGCAACAACGTAAACTCGAACAAGTAAACTCAGTCAAAAAAGAAATCAATCCTCGCATCTTGTTAACGTTCGGCGAAAACGGCGATTATCCTTCTCGCAAGGATGCATGCCTTCGCAATATTGATTTCGGCGGAGTACTGTAACGGAATTTGCCATTCGTATTGTAATATTATGCGATGTGAAGTTTTGCTCGTTTCTGTGCGTTCCAAAAAAGAGAGAACAGATTTTTTCGAACAATAACTATCAATAATAAAGAGCTGATCATTGGATAATCATTTCAATTCTATTCGCGATAACGTGAATAGTGAGTAAAAACGATCGCGACAGGTAAGACTTGAAGTCAAGTCGTCAAGTCGAGGAACCATCAATCTCATCGGCACGCAAAAAGACCCCTCTCTCAGAACTCTCATTGACTTTTTCTCAACTTTCCATCAAGCAACTCGATTACAGAAGCGCTGATCTTTTTCAACGAACATCAGTATATTGCTAAAGACCGACCAGGTTTACATTTAAAATCCAAGCTATATTTTTCCGTGTAGTTTACAATAATTATTTTCAATATTGAAATAATAAGATCAACACAAATTTTTATCTCAAAAGAAAAACACTTGGTTTTTTTTAGAGTGATATTAAAATATCAAGAGCTCCCTGGTGCGGACTTGCAAGTTTTAGCAATTTTAATTGCGTAGGCCTCGCAAGCCCGCCAATTTTTGGATATTTACTTAATTATGTTAATGATATTCAAATAGCATTCGCATAGCGTAATCATAGATTTCTCGCGAGATAATGCGTCGGAATAATTCATCGAGATCCATCATCAACTCCGACTTCAACCAGCCCCTGTTTCTGAAAAGACGCGCTTCAAATCTCAAAGACTACCGCGCTCGTAACTTATTTACAAATTTCATCACGTCCCCGCGAGTTTCGGAAACTTGAGGGCGATCTCATCTGCCCCCCCTCATCTGCCCTGTTCCATCAACCGAGGCCCGGTGCAATTTGACGGTCTACCGATCGCGATTTTACAGCTTATACTCCGAGCGAGAGGTTTATTTACCGTAAATTCGTTGTCGTCTCACGGCTGCATGAATCAGGCGAGAAAAGATGTTACAAAAGATTTGCCGAGGCAGCGAGAGGGGAGGGGGGGGGAAAGGACTCTATCCTGGTTAAATGATCGATAAGCTATCCATGAAACGACAGGAAGCACACTCGCGCCACTCTATTTGCACACCGTTGAGCTTATGATCTTGGAGAAGGGTGTGCGCGCGTCAGGAAACATTTGCGAAGCAAAGCGTAAAACGCGCGGATTTGCAGGACGTTATACCATGAATTAATCCCGGTGATCCCCGATACACGCGGAAGCTCGAATAATCTCCGCGTCTCGGCGAACGATCCGGGTTCAAGCTGTCATTCCCAAGTTTATTACGACAGGCAGTTGATTATTTTGTTTAATTCGCTTATTGTGCTCTGCTTTAGTAGACAATGCACAAAAAGTGTTAACTTTAGCAAACTTTTATAAATTAATTCATTGCAATCAAATAACGGATAATTGTGATAAATATATATATATGATATGAGAAAGAGAGAATTTTCTTTTAAAATAAAAAATAATTTTAACACGATAATATTCAATGTCAAGATAGTTACAATTTTTACTGTATAAAAAATTGAAAATTAATCGAAATGTGGTTCAAAGAGATTTCTTAGAGAGCCAAACAGATGGCATAAAATTTTTTGCTGAAAATAATAAGAATAAATAATAAACTTTTACGCGCTCCAAATGTACAAAATAATAATTACTAAAAACTTACATACACATATTAACATAAAATGTAAATACGAAAGAGTTGTTAAACCGTTACCAGGCCTAACTGCTTTGGGTGAGCCTAAATTTCTGATTCTCACCAGACCAATTTACAACGCGACGGTGAAAGCACTCCCTTACAGTTTCGTTTACGATCCTCAAGGGCCCTACAAAACGGCACAACTTACTACAGAAAATAATAGAGGGACAGACTGTGGGTAACTTTCGCCGCCTCGGTACTTAGAAGAAAAAACAATTCCTTTCTGACACGAGTGTTGATTACCGACTCTATGTTTTAATGGCAAAATCATCATATTTCATATCACTTCGAATACTATGATACACTCACGAATATTCGGACAAAGAAAGACGAGAAAAACTAATACAATAGAGAGAAAACAAATACAATAACCGCACGCGAATCAGTGCAGTGAGAAATTGGAACGAATATTTTGTTTGCCGCTGCAGAAAATCGATTTGAAACTCTCCGCGAAACTTTCGCGTCTCCCGAAAACTCGCGGGGACTACTTTTTGCGGGGAAGTTCTCAGGAATCGCGCCAGAAATGTCACCGGGATAAAACGCGATCCTCAACTTCGGGCTTGATCGCAAACTTTGCGAAAACAGTGGACGTGGCGCATTTCGGTGTCTCGCTTTGTGTGTGACAGCGGATCAACAAACATACACAGAGAGATACATTAAGCAAGCAGACTGCGTAAAGCGTTCTCGTTTGGAATGCGGTTCGCGCGACAGGATGCGCAGATTATATTCGTTTGCGCGCGACAGGAGACAGTCCGCCTTCGCCGATCCTTCCATCGGGAGGAAAATATTTCGCCGGCGGAAGGAATTCGCGGCGACACGGAACGAACGTCTTGAATATAAACCGACTACCGGGAATGGATCTGGCGCGCGTTACCCGCGAAAGGTGTCGCCGGAAAAGGGCTGGCGGGGATTGCAGCCGGACGGAGCAAAGGGGAGGAGGAGGGGGGAGGAAGGAGTGCAGGAATGCTATCCGTTTTCGTTCGGAATCCGAATTTCAGCCGTTTCTCGAACCACAAATTCACGAAATCCGGAAGCGGAAGAGCCGACTCTTGAATCCAAATCCGCGTTGCTGCCAGCAACGATTTCCTTCCCGCGACGAGACGAGGTTGCTCTGGATTTCCCGATCGCTTCGCTCTGCCAGGCGGAACCACGAAGAATCGCGCCTGTATCATTAGTCTCTTTCGCGGCGAAGAATTTTGCTTCCAATCATTCCGCATTTTCGCAGCTCTTCCGCAATCCGGGAATATAAATTTATGGAATAGAGATAGATACGTGACGGGACAGATAGATTTCTATCTGATTTCACAGACAGATTTTTTTGTATATATATGTTATTTAATAAATTAAATATTACAAATAAAATAGAATTAAGATGCTGAAAAGAAGAAATTTCGTAATATTGTTTAAAAAATGCTGACAACAAATCTGACAACAGTTATTAAATTTTGAAAGTAAAAGTTAATAATTTTAACTGTCTTGTCTGGTTGTAAGTATTCTATTTTAATTTTTTATGTTTAAAATTGCCCGAATGGATCACACAGAAATAAATATATTGCTACGGCGAATATACTGGATTTGTGGAATACATATGGACAACTATTTGCTTTCAGGATAGCGTGGAGCAGTTGCCGTTCGAAAATGCGGGCGTAAAAATTGTCAGGAAGAACACGCTCGGATCACTCAGTGAAATAAGCAGCCGCAAATATCGAAAGTGAACCGACGGACTTGTTCAGACTCTACGAACTGCCACTAGCACCCGTGAAATGAAACTTTTGTCGCACCTGTTGCATGACAGGTATTTTTGATGGATGCGCACACTTTTAACCGGAATGCGAAGTGCCTACTCGTGACTCGTGCCGCAGAATCGCCGGTCTAACAATCTTGCTCGAGACGAGAGGCGTCTTCAAGTCTGCGCGTGTCGTTTCCAACTTTTATCTCGCGCTAATCTCATTCGGATGTTCCCGAGTTCGAGTCGCGTGAGATGTCGTCGGGTCACCACATCGCCACTAGAAAATTTCGAACAAGCGCAATTGCTCTTTCAAACTAATCACGAGCCAAACAACGGTGCACAAGATGTGCGCAAGGTGGCCGAGCGATAGAGTTCGAAGATGGGCCGGGTATACAATGGGATGGGAAAGCTTATCGTGAATTGTGAAAAGTGTTGAAGAAAAAGGAAGAAAGAAAGAGAGCGGCAAGATGGTGACCGTGCTCAATATAAGCGACATTAAAAATATTTGCTTGCTGCCGGAAGATCTGGATATGTTGGAGGATCCTCGAACGCCGACTTTGCGAAGGGTCAGTTACGGTATCGTGTTGCCGACCATTTGTATCCTCGGCATCGTCGGTAACATTCTGAATCTTGTCGTCCTCACGAGAAGAAACATGCGCGGCACAGCGTACATCTACATGAGAGGTGAGGCGTCATTTATTCATTATTTGTTTTCCCGTCAAAATTCTTGTTTCGTATTTGCAAATCAGGAATGCTGTGTCACAAATCATAATGAAATAATTAATACAGCTAAACTTAGTTTAGAAAAGTATTTCTATTTGGGGTTTTCGTGATATATTTATTTTTCACGAAAAGAGTAATCATTTGCTTATCGAGAAATTGGAGATAGAATAGAATTATGAAAATCGTGGGGAGTATTTTCTCGAGAAGCAGGGAAACGAGCTTATGGTAACGAAAAATTGGTCCGAAAGCAACCCTCTGCGATGATAACATCTCTTTAGACAAGAGAAAAGAGCGCGCCGGGTGCATTGAAATAAGAGACGACGAGGAGGGAAGAAGCGGTACCATTAGCAGAGTGCGGTGTAATAGCTTCCAATAAAGTTATTCCATGTTTACGTAATATCGGGACAGGAAGCTCGATTGCATTACTTTATACGGCGGTGCATTATCGAACGCTCGAGAGCGTGCGTGTTCAAGTACAGCGCACGTCATTAACGCCGATTATCCGCAATTTTCTCGATTGAGAGAAAACTAGGATACCAAAAGAGAGAGAGAGAGGGAGAGGGGGGGGGGGGAGAGATATCAGAAAAAGAAATGGTGCAAATATATTTACGCGTCAAAATACAAAGGACGAGAGAATCTTTTTCTTCGCAGAAGCACGGGGAATAACAAGCACTGGTTACGAGCGCAGACGACGAGCGCTGTAGATGCTGGTAATATCATATTTCTGTTTCAATGCAAATTGGTTGATCATCAGTGCGCGTGGACGCGTACACACGCGTGCTTTCGGCGCCGAACTTACTTGAGGAAATTTTAAGCGAACGCTCCCCTCGGTCCTTTCTCGTTCTAAACTTTCCTTGCTTTCGGGAAAAACACTCCACCCACGGGGTCACGCAAAGTGCTCGCCCGCATTTCGTCCTGTCGGAAGCAGCCGTCAGGAAATATCTTCCGAAACGTCGAAAATTCGACGCTGCACAGTGCGCGAATTCACCACGAGATTAATGAACCGTTCCCCGCAGCCGGAAAAAGACGAGCATTACTCTCAATTAACTTTCCAATCGTTACGTTCGTTGATTTTACTATTTTATCGTGAACCGGTCATCAATATTCATCGCCGTAGTTTCGCGTGACAGCGAGGCGACTAAGTAACGCATATCTGTTCTGAAACGCGTGTCGGGTGCATCGGAAAGCGCTTCGTCGGATTAAACCGGCGTGAATCTCGTCTTATTCCGAAAATAAACAGCGAAATTCCGGTTGGTAATTAACACGGGCGGTTCAAGTAGAGAGAGAGAGAGAAAGAGAGAGAGACGGAGTTTGTTCTTCATGTATGGAGACGCGATCTCCGGCATCGCATCGCTGCGATTATAACCGGTAAACATTCGCGGTTGCGTTCTGGAAGCGCGCGAAAGCACGGCCAAATAGACTGGCATTTTGAGAGCAAGCCAAAGTAAGTTGTTTCCGCGAGCCTCCTACCGAGATCCCAAAACACACTGCCCTCGGCGACCGGATTATTTTTTTGGCGTCGCGCCATTGTTTGCGCTGAATGCCGCCCACGGATTTCGTCCATTAGCCACATATCGTCCTTATTAATAGCTCTATCATCGCCGTGTATATTTGCGCTTCGGAGAAGAATAGGTCGCTCGGTTATTGACATTAAACTTGTTGCCGCGGCGGCTGATATTAATGAATTAATTGTCGCATTAGGGAAATTTGTTAGAGATAATAAAATTAATAATTTATATAAATTGAAATTATACATTACGAGATATATTTTCGAGAAAAATAATTTTCCGAAAAGATACATCTATTTAATAATAAATTGTTGTAAAATTGATTCAACACAACGAAATTAAAGATAATTAAAAAATTCAAATTTTGAAAAACAGAAGAAAATACTTAAAAAATAAGCATTTTTGCGTCGTAATTTTTCTTTATATATATTTTACCGTCAAGATTGAAGCAAGCATAGTATAAAATATGTTGCTCCTGAAAACGGTTAATTTATTTTTCAATCTGGAGAATAGTGGAGATAAATCGCGCGTACAAAACGCAGTCGTTCCCGAAGGGAAGCGTTTCGAGAACAACAACGAGGTCGATGGGACGGTAACTATGCTCTCGTGTTCATGGCGAGTTGTCCCTCGTAGCTTCCCCAGGACGGAAGATTCGGCGGTTTTTGCGGCGCCGCAGACGTCCGCGCTCGTTTCCGGGGCAACCAGGCCAGTGCATTAGGGAGGAAATTACTCGGCAATTCGATTTTGGTATTTTCGTTACGCGCGCCGTGCCGTTTCGAATTGGAGCCAGATTCACGACACTCCAGGGGGTGGCACGTGTCCCGAACCGTGTCTTTATCGCCAGTCGGATTCCTTAAGCATTAGGCCGCAACTGTAACACGTCCCCGCGTATATGAGGACCTGCACTCGCTTAACTCCGTCGCAGCTGCAAAGCCGCGGAATATAGCCCGGAGCTCAGTGCACACACACGGAATCACGCCGCAAGAGTGCAAAGCCGGCTCTAAGTGGTTTACGCCATCGAGGTACACACGTTTGCTGCGAAAGCATTGTCTCGCGCGTGCTCGTTTAATTTCGCCTCGGTTTAGCCGGAGCTAATTCTTTCCGTATTCTCCGCCGGATTAGCATAAACTTACACCTTTCGACGCGCATATTTCCAAATTCACAGACGCGTTGAGAGTAAGAAGAATAACGCGCCATGCGTTGGATGGAGAAATAATAAAGTGAAATATAAATAAAACCCGCGAAAATCAAATAAAACCGCGAGCCTGATAAGTATATGACGAGTATTATCCGCGAAACTCACCGTATGAATTTTGTATGGAGATCTTTTACCTCGGCCGAGAATATCGTGGAATTCAGCGTGGAGGATCGGCGGATCACTTATAACCGGCGTGTTGCTGATTCGATATCGATACCCGGTGGAGTTATCCCGATATCGGGCGGCGCCCGGGTGCGAGGGATCGCGCGAAATTTCCGTTTTACTCGGTTTTCTCGTGCGCGCGAGATGCTGGAAACGCAGCCTTAGAGAGGTTTAGGGGATTAGAAGAGGTCGGTAAGATGGAAAGAGAGAGCAGGAGGGATATGGCAGCGCGGTCTTGCTTCATACCGTGGCCGGAGCTTCCTCGCACAGCTCTTTTTCTACCCCTTCCCTCTTCCTCCCTCTCAATTCCCTGTAGCCGATGTATATATGTATTCTAGACTTTAATCGCCTTCCTTCAAGTTCGCCAAGCTTCAAGTGTGCTTGATCCCGGTATCCATCAAGAAACTTGGTATCTCCGGTAAGTGTTGCTGACGCATCCTTCGTCTGTGAAAATTCTCACTCGCTTTCACCACTGAGCTTGTCAAAATTAATTATTTAACCAGTAGATCGCGAATAATGGCTAATCAAATCTCATTCGAGAGTTCTATTATAAACGATATTAGAGTCCGGTTAAGTTGCCGCTGATTACACTCGCAGTGCGCAATAAATAGCTTCGTCGATTATATTCACTTACAATTAGAACTAGTTGTAACAGTGAGTACTCATATTTTTTTATATTATAGAAACGTTTCATAATACATTAAAATTGTCGAAATGTGCATTTTATATCAACGATCATTATGTATTGTCGAAATGTCTATGCACAGTCGAGAAATTTTTAAAATATATTCAAGGTAATTGTGAAAAAACTTAACGTCAAACACACTGAAAAATAAAGATATTCATTATAAGTTTAAAAATATTTTTTTAATTTTCTATTGTTAGTTTTTTTTTAAATATTCGTGCAAATAAAATGAAATATTTACTGACAAAATTAAATTTATCAAAGTGTCGACAATAAAAAGGGACATCCTCTACTATATATATGTGACACCATAATCCGGGTTCGCGTGAAAATGGCAGAATGAAATCCTGAGAGTGTTGCTTGCTCTCGCTAGTGTAATTCAAGTTCTCTACGGGCCTGACCATCCTTGATCTTACTATATGTAAGCAAGAAACTCGGATATCTTTTTACGCACAAAGGATAGTCACGAACAGAGATGTGGCCCTCATGAGATTTGACTCGCCTTTTGTCATGCATTTTATGCCGACGGTCTTGTTCGAAGAGCACAGAATTTATAGGTACATTACAAAATATTATATATAATACAATAGAAAATAGTTTATCAATAAAAATAACTAAATTGTTTCATCTCTGCGATTGATATTAAAATATATAAATTATTTTTGTTAATATAATTTTACATAATTTCCTTCTCGTTCAATTATTTGCTTGAACAATGTTAATATTGCTACTAATTAATTATTATACTTTGTCTTCATTTTTCTGATTTATTTT